AAAGTGAAAGTGATTCGTGCAAACTGCGTGCTTGTTGAACAGCCTCGCTCATTCGGTGTCAGTCTCAGTAGCAGCACAGCAAAACCAGCAGCACGGCAAAAGGTATGAATCTATTAACTATTTGAATGTTGTTAGTGAACATTAGGTAATATAACGAAAAAAGCTTCAATGAATAAATGGGACATCTATTTCGTTTGATATTTCTGACATTCCTTTCATGTGTAAATATTTAACAAGACACTGTGCGGTTATAGAGCAGGGGAAAGGAACGACAACAGCGTAAATATGTGACCTGTTTTTTAGAGTCCCGTTAGTCGCGTTAGTGTCTCTGGGAGTCTTTAGGGCGCAGTGAATGGGTTTACGTGTGTGTGTGTGTGTGCGTCTGTCTTCCGGAGCAGACAAGAATGGGAGGTGGACGGTTGTTTTTCACAGCTCTTGCATGAAAGCTGTCACTCCTCCGTATGTTGTGATGTTCATGTACCGACACTTACCTGGACCGTAGCTAAAACAAACAGTTCGTGAAGTCCGATAACCTAAATGTTTTTAGTAAACAAAACTATTTGTGTGCCTATAGACGTAATTCAATAAATTAGGAAATCTTTAAAAACTTAAATTATTTAGAAAATCATTTCGGGACGCTGGGGTTGAGCGCGTGAGACCGATACGGAGGCCTTGTTCGTGGACGCGACCATCACGGGCTCAGTGATTACCCCTCCCCCATTGTCTTGTTTCTCTCTCACAACCCACTTTCCTGTCTGACCACTTCCAAACAAAGGCCACAAGAGCCGATAAAACCTTTAAATAAATAATTTCAAGAACTGAAACTATATCTCACAAACAATTTCAAATGTATATTTCTGATAATTTTGATGATCATGGCTTATCCAAACCGTATTGATTATGGTTTATTGTAGACAATATTCTAATTGTCCATAAGAGAATTAGAATATTACATGAAACCAATATAAAAGGCATTTTAAACAGAAATGATATTTTATGACCTATTAATTGGGAAAACTCATGAACTGAGAAATTGGTTGACACACTCTCCAAATGGAAGCAAAGCCACTAAAGTTCATTGTTAAAGAAGCATTGATAAGGTTGCTTATCCAAGCACATTGATGGAAAGTTGAGTGAAAGAAAGATCTGAGAAAAAAAAAAAACAGAATGTGGGACCTGCCCACAACGTCAAAAATAAGCATAATTGATTTATGACCATGGTCTGCTTGTTTGGCAAGTAGACTTACTTTACCTGGGCCCCATGAAAATAGAGAATTTGTAAAGTAAATTTATTTTTTGAGGATTTTTTAATTTATTGAAAAACTTATTTTTTAAAAATAACTTATATTGCTCTTTGTGTTTGTTTCTGAAGGAGCCTGAAGATGCCCTGTCTTTCAAGTGAGTTATCATCTCAGGTCATATAAATAAGGATCTTGCTCTGATTTGCTCTGGTCTGTTCATCTCTATTTTCTGCTTTATATTTCTGCCAAACAGAACCAGTTAAAGTTGAGACAATCACCACCGGGGTGACTCATGGTGCCGATGTGGATCTGATTGACCAAGTGAGAAGTGGGGTTAGGCTGGAGGGCACAAACCAGGATGGACAGTATACCATTGTTTTCTGTCCCATCGTCTCCCGTGTTGGTTCAGATGTGGAGGCAGCCATGCAAAACATGCCATGTAAGTAAACAGGTAACATTTTTCCTTTTGGTTTGCTGAAAAACAAATCAGACAAAGCTAACCTGAGTTAATGCAAAAAAGCTCATTTTAAATGCTGATTTAATTTATTAAAGGGAAAAAAAGCCAAACAAACCTGAACCCATAAGGAAAAAGTTTGTATCTTACTTGTAAGGTATAAATTTACCACAATTTCTTTACAGTGGAGTTTAGTTTTACTCACCAAGAAATTGCATAAGCATGTAGGCTAATAGAGCTCAGTAGATCAATCGATCTAAAGAAATTCAACAATAGGTGAGAAACTGACGTCCTTCCATCTGAAAAGGAATCTAAGGTTGGAATGAGACAGAGATTCAACATTAAGGTCAAATATTGACATAAATGCATAAACCAACCAATAGACCAACCAATAGAAGATACTTATCTTCTTTTTTATGTTAATATTCAATGAAAATATCCACATAAAACATTCTCATAAGGCAGCTTCAGGGTGACCTAATCTGAGGTGGTTTGTTATATTTATTTGAGCCGAGTGATTGTCCAAACCTCGTGGTAGAAAATGTTTTGCATTTTGAAAAAGATCACAAATGTTTCTTTTCTACCAAGTTAATCTAACAGATTGTAGCAATTCTTAAAATAAAGATACAAGTGCACATTAAATCACTTTTATTAGCAATTGAAATCTAAGATAAAATAAAAATAAATCATTTTAAGTTGATGTAATTTAATAATTGGTTCAACTTGCATGATCAAAATATTTGATCTGATAATGTATTTTACTACATTAACTTTACGCTGAATTTTGTTCAGTCACATTTATGTTGAAAAGAGAGTGAGAACATATTGTTTTCACCCATTGCAAACTTGTTGTAACAAGTTGATACAAACACAGGCCACTAAGCACCCTGGGAATTGTTAATCCACAGTACTCAGCCACGCCCTTAACTCCTCCCAAACTCCAGCGGACTGACTACTGACCAGCTCTCCGTCTCACGGGTCCGAAAAGCCTCTAATTCCTGGGTTTTACCGCAAATAAGAATGTAGAGAACTTTTGTTTAAGCTGGGCGCGAGAAAGATTCGTCTAAGCTTTAACTACCTTCATCCAGACGTTATGACCCGCTTCAGTTTATGATTCAGACATCGGAGTAGCCCCGCCGATGTCCGAGCTCATAAACCACGTCTGTTCACGGCAGCTCTTTCCCTGTTATTAACGTGCACTTGTTACCGGCTTAGATAATTTTAGAGTGTGACCAAAAATGGTCTAAACCATGCAACTTTTCTTTTGATAAAAAGATATTTGAGGGTTTTTTAAAAAAAAAATCTTTGTATCTCT